CTGCAAGGACCTTACAGTCTTTACAGGCAGCCAGGGCAATCATGTGCTTTGAGACCCAGAGGATGGTGATAACTTAGAGCATGTGTGCATTTTCGGTTTTATGATGTGACGACAGCAGCACTCTGACACTGGTTAACATTTGTGGGCCTTGTGGAAGGAGTGAGTTTCCATGAGGGATTTGGCTGGAGGAAACCTGCCTGCCTGGCACACAGAGCTGAGGAGGGTGTTCCAGGCAGGGTTGAAATAGAGATGAGTAGCATGATGTTTTACATTGCCTATGATGCCTCTGGTAATTTGGAATGGGATTGACCATGTTTTGTGAGCTTGTAATTTTTTCATGCAGTCTAATACAGAAGGAAAAATAAGAGGTTATGAAGAAATTCAAAAGGAAGTGTATAGATGTTTCTGCTGAACACAGAGGTGTTCATTTCCTCCTTCAAAGAGCAATTATATGAGAATTGAAAAGCTGTATGTGATAAGAATCCATTGTATTTGCTTTGTTAAGAAACCAAAATCGAAGGGAAGACTTTGGGGCAGGGGGGAATTTCGTAGGATTTTATTATAGCCTGTGTACATAAGGGCAAAAGAGAAAGTTAAGTTGGTATCTTCAAGACGGCATGCCTCTGTGACACAAAAAACAGTGCTATGGAATTTGATTTGTTAAAGTATATGTTCAGTCTCCAAGTAATTTAGTAGTAGAGCATATCATGATTTTCCCCACTTTGGGACAAGTTGAACTGAGAGAAAGATTGCAGAAGTCAGTGTCCTTCCCATGAAGCTCTGAAAAGAATATAAGCAAAAACAATGTGGAAGAACACCGATTCTGTGATACACACTTCACAATAACTTACTGTATGCAAAACACCTGGAAATTATTCAGTTTGGTGCCTAAGCAGCACAGTGGGAAGTTTTCAGATTCTTTCATAAAGTTTTCTCTCCGTATTACAACATACAAATCATGTTATCTCCCCTTACCATTGTATAATACTACAGTGATTTCTTTTTGTGTGCTTAATGTGGTAAAGAAATAAAAGAAAAATATCAGATGCATTTTTAGGTTTTTATTATAACTTTTAACTAGGAGAGCAACAGGGAAAGTCATCACTATGTGACCATTAACTATGTCACCATCTTGAACTCAGTTATCCAAATTCAATGTGTGAGTTTAATAATCATTCATTTAAGTAACAATACATGTGTCACATCTGTAATGCCTCATATCTGAGGATTTCAGAGCAGTTTAGAAGTTTTGATGAACTGAATCTCACAGCTTTCCTACAAGAGGGGAAAAAATACAGGCATAGAAATTACAAATAAGGCTGCTCAGGAGATAAAGGAGGAGAGCAAGTGTCACGGTTTGGGGAACCTACACACAAGTTAAAATTTTGGGATAAATATATGCAACTTACAAAATTGCTATATTATTGAACTCTTTCATATATCTTGTATTGACCTTAAGCTGTGAAAGATGTGCCATCCGTCTCCTAAACAAAGGATAGCACAGGATATTGGAGGAGTATTTTATGTTGTTTGTTAGCTCCTTTTCATGTGAGAGTATGTTAGGACAGAGGATGTAGAACACTATATGGCTGAAGCCCAGAGAAGTCAGCATAATTAAATTTGTCTGCAGAACAAAGGGTTATCAACGAAGACATTTTACCAGAACTAGAAAAAGGAGGTACTTGAGGAGAGTAACATGTGGGCAGTCGTAGATAAAGTTGGACAGTAGAGTCAAACTGAGAACCCATTTTGTAGCCAAGAAGCCCGAATTTTAATGGGGGTCAATGAGGGAAGGTGGGAATGAAACCTACATGGACACTACAAATGTATTTTAAGCTCAACATGAGCTGGCAGTGTGCACTTGCAGCCCAGAAAGCCAACAATATCCTGGGCTGCATGAAAAACAGCGTGACCAGCAGGTCGAGGGAGGTGATCCTGCTCCTCTCCTGCACTCTTGTGAGACCCCACCTGGAGTACTGCATCCAGCTCTGGGGGCCCCAGTACAGGAGAGACATGGAGCTGTTGGAGCGAGTCCAGAGGAGGGCCACGAAGCTGATCAGAGGGCTGGAGCATCTCTTTTATGAGGACAAGCTGAGAGAGTTGGGATTGTTCAGCCTGGAGAAAAGGCAGCTCTGGGGAGCACTAATTGCAGCTTAACAGGACCTGAAGGGGCCTACAGGGAAGATGGTGAGGGACTGTTTATCAGGGAGTGTAGTAACAAGGGGCAATGGGTTTAAGCTAAAGGAGGGTCAATTTAGATTAGCTATTAGGAAGAAATTCTTTCCTGTAAGGGTGGTGAGGCACTGGAACAGGTTGCCCAGAGAGGTTGTGGATGCCCCATCCCTGGAAGTGTTTAAGACCAGGTTGGATGAGGCTTTGGGCAATGTGGTCCAGTGGAGGGTGTGCCTGCCCATGGCAGCGGGGTTGGAACTAGATGATCTTTAAGGTCCCTTCCAACCCAAACTTTTCTATGATTCTATGATTCTGTTCTACTTAGTTTCCTTTTATGACAAGGTCACCCATCTAGTTGACCAAGGGAAGCCAGTTGATGTCATTTTTTTAGATTTCAGTAAAGCTTTTGATACTGTCTCTCACAGTAACCTTCTGGACAAAATGTACATCATACAGCTTGACATAAACATAGTGTGATAGGTGAGCAAATGGCTGATGGGTCGGGCCCAAAGAGTTATGGTAAATGGGGTTACATCAGGCTGGCGGCCAGTCACCAGTGGGGTTCCCCAGGGCTCCATTTTAGGGCCAGTTCTTTTTAATGTTTTCATAAACGACTTGGATGTAGGACTAGAAGGTGTTGTGAGTAAGTTTGCGGATGACACGAAGTTGGGAGGAGCTGTTGATTCCGTCGAGGGTGGAGAGGCCTTGCAGAGAGATCTGGACAGATTGGAGAACTGGGCAATCACCAACCGCATGAGGTTTAACAAGGGATTCTGCACCTGGGAAGGGGCAACCCTGGCTATACATACAGACTGGGCGATGAGACGCTGGAGACCAGCCATGCTGAAAGGGACTTGGGGGTCTTGGTCAACAGCAAGTTGAACATGAGTCAACAGTGTGCCCAGGCTGCCAGGAAGGCCAACCATATCCTGGGGTGCATCAAGCACGGCATTGCTAGCCGGTCTAGGGAAGTGATTGTCCCACTCTACACTGCGCTGGTGCAGCCTCACCTCGAGTACTGTGTGCAGTTTTGGGTGCCGCAGTACAAAAAGAACATAAAACTATTGGAGAGTGTCCAAAGGAGGGAAACGAAGATGGTGAAGGATCTAGAGGGGAAGACGCATGAGGAGAGGCTGAAGTTCCTTGGTTTGTTCAGCCTAGAGAAGAGGAGACTGAGGGGAGACCTCATTGCGGCCTACAGCTTCCTCACGAGGGGGAGCGAAGGGGCAGGCGCTGATCTCCTCCCTTTGGTAACCAGTGATAGAACCCATGAAGGCATGAAGCTGCGATGGGGGAGGTTTAGGTTGGATATTAGGAAAAGGTTCTTCACCAAGAGGGTGATCGGGCACTGGAACAAGCTCCCCAGGGAAGTGGTCACAGCACCGAGCTTGACTGAGTTCAAGAAGTGTCTGGACAATGCTCTCAGTCATATGCTCTGATTCAGCTGGTCCTGTGTGGAGCCAGGAGTTGAACTGATGATCCTTATGGGTCCCTTCCAACTCGGGGTATTCTATGATTCTATGATTCTATTTGCTCCAGAGCCTAATCCCTACTCCCTGAGCCACACTATTGAGAATAATAGCCTTTAGCTATATCCATGCTGTTCAGCAATTGGCCTGGCCCTGAGTCATAACCATATACGTGCCGTGTATGAGATCCTGACTTCAGCTGATTCAAACTCCAGAAAAATGCTTAGAGTGGTGAATAAATTCAGGCATCTCACATCTTTACTTTTCCTTTGTTCCTTTTAATTCTTTTGTTATAGTACAGGCTTCTCTGAGGAACCTTGAACAAGCTGGACATACAGATTTACTGAGAGTGTGTCGTGGTTTTACCCCAGCCGGCAGCTGAGCACCACGCAGCCACTTGTTCACTCCCCCCCTCCATCAGGATGGGGAAGAGAATCGGAAAAGTTAGAGTGAGAAAACTCGTGGGTTGAGATAAAGACAGGTTAATAGGTAAAGCAAAAGCCGCGCACACAAGCAAAGCAAAGCAAGGAATTCATTCACCACTTCCCATGGGCAGGCAGGTGTTCAGCCATCTGCAGGAAAACAGGGCTCCGTCACGCGTAACGGTTACTTGAGAAGACAAACACCATCACTCCGAACGCCGCCCCCCCCCCCCTCCCCCCCACCTCATTAAAAACTGCCACTGCTATCATACAGTTATAAACTGAGCATGACGTCATATAGTATGGAATATCCCTTTGGTCAGTTTGGGTCACCTGTCCTGTGTGTGTCTCCTCCCAACTCCTTGTGCACCCCCAGCCATCCCGCTGGCAGGGCAGTGCAAGAAGCAGAAAAGGCCTTGGCCTCGTGTAAACACTGCTCAACAATAAGTCCATAGAACAAAAACATCTCTATATTATCAATGCTGTCTCCAGCACAAATCCAAAACGTATCCCCACACTAGCTACTATGAAGAAAATCAATCCTCTCAGCTGAAACCAGGACAGAGTGAGATGCAAGGAGACTAAAAGGCAATTCAGAAGTCTACAGGATTGCCTACCATGTGTTAAGCAACAATTGCTTTGGAGTACATGGTCAGATATTATTTGATGTGGTTACAGATAGGCAATCCCTGCTGACAGTGAGATGAGGGATACATCCAGGCCTAGCACATCATCTGTTTGTTTCTCTTCTTGTATGTCTTTGAAGATGTGGATTGTGAAAGAATAGTTGTAAGATGAACTGTAGGAAAAGTTGTATCTGAGGTCTTGTGGGCAACAGGAGATGGGAACTGGTTTAGGAGTTGGTCTGGCAGGGTGTGTCATTACAAAAGGGTGAACAGAGAGCCAAAGAATCATACATATACCATAGAGGGTAAAGATGCTATTCCCATCAGGAGCATATCACCAGGTGAGCCTGGTGCCAAAGGACTCCAACACTCAGAAAGTGTCCCACTGGCTGAGCTGTTTCACACCAGATTGCGTGGCTTCTCGTCCTGCCTGCCACCCACTAGCATTATTTTGTACAAGATCGAAGCTGAATGCTGTCATGCTGACCTTGGTGAGACATGTGGCGGGGACTGGAGCAGAGGGGGAGTGGGAATGTGGTGTGCAGATGTGTGAAGGTGAGAGTAAAGCTTATCAGCTACTGGTTCCAGAGGGTGGTGGGCTTTTCCTTTTTTCTTTTCCTGGCTCTGCTGATGAAGTCATCCATTGAACAACCTCAATTATCCATCCATACAAGATAAAAGTACCAGAGTACTATGTAGGGTGTGAATACATTTGAATATTTAAAATATAACAATCAAACATAGTCCTTCCCTTGTTGGCCAGCTGCTCTTGGGGTGGCCTCTATTAAATAGCTCTCGAGATCCCACAGATACTTTCCTTCTGCTGCATAATATTTTTCTTTTCTTTCCAGCAAACCAGGTTTGAACTGGCAGATTTCTGTGAAGTCCTGTAGCCAATTTAATATTTAAAACAGACCTGTTAAGTTATGCTGGTTTCAGGAATGTCTTGAGCCATCCTCCCTCTGCTAACCTGCTGTGCTGACTCAGCGCCTGAGAAGGAGTTGACAGCCCATGGGGACAGGGGGGTGTTTTGCAACTCTCCAGAAAGACAGGATAATAAAAGCTCATAAGGGTAGAGAGTGATGCAGCTAATATTTGTGTTGCAGTTATCAGCCAAGTAATTTAAAAGAAAAAAACAAAACAAAAAAAACCAAACCCAAACAAAACAAAAAAACCAAACCATAACCCAGAAAATAGAGTTGAAGGTACAGCAGCTGGTGACCTAAAATGGTAATCTGCACTAAAAGTCCTGCTTTGGTAATATCTGTGCATATACTTTTCAACCCATTTTGGGTAGAAACTTGTAGAAAAAGGCTCTTAGGAGTTAAAACTGCTACTCTTTTTCTTTGAAATAATCATCTTGACATTCTCATTAGAAAGACCAAGAAGAGACTGCAAGAAGACAGCTGTTGTAGAACCCTGAGAGCGATGGGACAGCAGGTGTTGCTAGTGCTGTACCTGTTCTGCAGAGAGTTCTCTACTATTAATATTGCTGTCTTTACAAGTCAGAAATTACATTAGTGTGGTTGCTGAATTTCCATGGACATATAATTCCAGGTGCATATATCAGGGTGCTGATGTTCTTGTATTTTGTTGCTGTTGTGTGCTTATGTCCCCAGCTTCAAAATAGAATTCAGGACTTGGGCTTTATTTACAGTATACTGGTGAGCTTTATATAGCTTGGTCTCTGCTTGCCTGTACCTTTATTTTAAGTGTGCGTAAATTCATTAAATTGTGCTACATATAATTAAAAATACAGAGATTGCATCTCGTTTTATTTACTTCTTACTAGTGCAGACGTATGAGAGTGAGTGCACTTTCAGAACCTTCCTTTCAAAACTACTTGTAATCATGCCATAGATAAGTAACACTTTAGAGGAAAGAGGACCTCCAGCCAAAATAGTTTCCAAATGATCTTAAAGTGTAATTTATCTTCTTATTTTGCAGCTAGCTATGGACCAAATCCAATTTGCAAAGGCTGTTTATCTTGTTCAAAGGATAATGGGTGCATCAGATGCCAACACAAGTTATTCTTCTTCCTACGAAGAGAAGGAATGAGACAATATGGTGAATGCTTGTTGCCCATCAGGGTACTACGGACTCCGAACGCCAGATATGAACAGATGTTCAAGTGAGTTTTTTTGAACGCTTACATTCACTTTTGTAGAAAGGCCATAATTCATGCTCGGTTTTTATGATGATATGTTGTGGAACATGATGGTATTTTCACAGATGTCTCAAGATCATCATCAAACTTTGTTAAAGAATGTCCCAGCTCATTCCAAGATATGTAACATTCAGTGGATTAAGTAGTTGATGCATTAACCTAGTTTTTATTGTTGTTGTTATTTTTATTGTTATTATTGCTGTATTTAGAAGGGAAATTTAGGAAAGAATGATGATTTAAGCAGCTATTCCTAGTTTTAACAAAAAAATTGCCACTATATGAAAATAAAAAGGATTCAACCTTAATTTAACAGTGCCTCATGTAGGTACTAGTCAGTATATGCACTAATATATGGGTGGGCTTCTTGTCATGTTTTTTGTTCCCACACAAATTTCTGGTGAGGTGACCAGACACCTCACACCAGACATGCTTTAATATGTAAGTGTTGCTATTTTAATAAAACAGATGTACTATTAAAAACAAAAAAACAACCTTTCACTTTTAGTACTGCATTTTATTTGGAAATTTACAGCCTGCTAATGTGCAACAAGATTCCCTGTTTACATGTCTGTGCCTAGAAGCACAACTGTTAAAATCAGCGAGTGCTCTGGTATCTCTACACATTATTTCACCACTGTCTGGCAGTTGTGCCTATTTGTATCGATTTTTCCATACGCTTGTATGTATGTGGACTATTACCCATATGGATTATTAATCATTGCTATTACCTCTAATTCATATTTATGGGGATTTTTTTTTGTGTGTGTGTCATGGTGACCTAATACTGGTTAGACTGAACCTAAGAACCTGAAGTGAGAAATAGCTTTTCTTCACTTCCCGGAATAATCGAGTGTCTGTTAAATGCATGGCACTCTCCCCCTCAGTACTGCGGGCTGTCAGTGGGGCACACCGCGTTGTGGGAAAGCGGGTGCTGGCTTTTGCATCGCACGTGATCTTGAGACCCACGTGAGGTCACTCCGTGGCAATCTGGGCTGGATGAGGAGCACTCGTGGTCGTGCTTGGCCCCGTCCCAGCCCGTGCAATGACATCCCGCCTCTTTCCCCTCATCCCCTGCACAGGCTCTGTGGATATGGTATTCTCCACATTACGTTCCCAATTGCTGTGTAATATTGCTGACTGCTGCCTAATCTATACCAGGTGGCTAGGCTTTGATGAAAAATTAAATGAGGCCAGTATATGGTTTATGTGTCCCTTCTGTAAAGTAAGTTAGGATCTTGGCCTTAATTTTCATAACACATTTGTGAATTCAGGAACTCGTCCACTTTAACTTTCAAAACTGGTCTGTAAAAACTTGCCCATGTAAAAATGTTCTTGAATATAGTTACATCTTTGGGAAATAGATGAATTTGTCTATATTAGCCTGTACTGCACTTGTGAAATAGGAAAAGTAGTCATACTGTCAGTCTTTCTTTAATTTCTTAAAAAGAAAAAAAAAAATATTTGCAGAAGGTAGATGGTGAATTCAATATAACTTTTTTCAGTTTTACCATTTATAGAAAATTATCTTTTCCCCTGAATTACAGGATTGGTTTTGAAAATAAATGCAAGTTCTGTCTAACCTGTATTAGCATGTGTTGAGCGCTGAATATTTAACTTACCCTCATGCCTTTGAGAGTCTCCCCCTGTAAGAATAATGATGCAGTTGCATTTATCGACCAGTCCTGGTTCTCCTCCAATGATTTTTGTATTGTATATTTTTATTTTAGTGTAACTGCCAACTGGTGTATTTATAAATCACATCTTTGGTTTTTTCTTGATTTGGTGATCTTGCATGGCAGATACATTGCCTTGTGGATACACAGACATTTTGTGGATTGAAGTTGAGTTAAAATAAACATTCTTAAAAAATAGAATAAGTTTCTTCCTACTTGATGTTAGATACTTTTAGGTATGCTTAGTACAGACTCCATTGCTCAGATAGTACTATCTCAGCTAAAAATAATAAAAATTCTGGCTATGTTAAAATCCTTCTGGGAGTTACAGGGCTTGAATTACATAAGTTGAAATGATTTCTGCCCTATTAATGTCTTTATAGGCACAAAAGCTATTTAACGTTTTATTACTGGAACACTTGCCCATTTTTCTTAGAGAAACTATAGAACATATTTTTATGGAAAATGTTGACATGATTTTAAAAGCCAAACATAGTTATTGCCAAATGTAACACAATAAATACCACAGCCAAGTGCAGGAGCTCTAAAATAATGGAAATTTTGAATTTCAAGACTAATTTTCTTTTCTACATGTAAGCGGTATGTGTTTCTTGAATTTGCTAAGTGGTTCTAGACTGTTTTTCTAGTAACAGTGAATCATGTAATTTTAAGACTGCTTGTCTCTAGAAATCGATGTAGAGTTTCCTGCTGGAGATGATTTTCATTTTGAACACTGCAGTATGAGAATGCAGTACATTTGGACATGAAATTGGAAAGTGTTGAGTCTCATCTGTAGAAGAGTGCCCAAAAGAAGAGCTACACTTTGTTAATTTTCCAAGAAATTTTAATAATTAATGACTTTCAACTGAACTGCTCCAACAAGAAATAATCTCATGAGAAAAAACCCAAAACTGAATTAAAGAGTCAGATGAAATCTGTCACCTGGGTGGTTGGTTTAACATTGGTCTGATTAATGGATCAAGCCTATCTTGAACCTTTCAACTTAGTCTGTATCCATAGCAACCCCTACAATTTTAGGGGGAGGAAGCACTCAGAGTTTAGAAATTACAGCTCCCTTCAGCTTTGCTTGGCTACTCCATTTGTTTAGGTTCACCTTCTTTCTCACAGGAGGGCCCAACATTGCTAAAATTGTAGTTTCCCTTTCCATGTGCCTTCAGTAAAAACAAGATAAAGAGAAGGTTTTAAACAAATTGAGCAGTTATTATACACGTGTAGTTAATTCACTGTATTAAGAATGGTAATGATTTTTTTGAACTTTGTTACAAAATAGCAAGTCATCATTAATGTATCATGGCTTGACTATTTCTTATGTAGTATAGCAGAGCATATGACCTTCTGAGACTATTGTAGTCAGTGCAATTGTAACAGTCCGTCAGGGGGTTCAAGTAGCACAGGGGCAGCACTATTTACTTTAAATAAAATAATTTTTCTACCTTTTTAGAAATAGTTTTCATTACATTTGTATTTATTTCCTTCATATATGGCTTTATCTTTTAAAACCAAGCTTAATATAGCATTTGAGATTTTGAAAATGAAGTTGGATGGCCAGAAATTGAGGTCTACCTGTCATTATTTTACAGGCATTTATTTTTTTTCCTTATCTCTTCCACTCTTTTTTTCCTCCATCAAGTGGATTTGATTTTTTTTTAATTTGGATTTTTTTTTCTTTTTGGCCTTACTTGATATGTTGACAGAAGAGTTTTGTTACATCCATCTGGCAAAAAAAGTCATCATAGTGCTTTGAATTAAGATTTATTAAATCTGTAGTTGATTTACATTTAATAGGGTAATTGTACATTTGTAAAGGACTAATTGAAAACACTGTGGTTTGGCATTTATTTAAAAGATTTCAACTAATAATGAATCAAAATTAGAACATACTGGAAATGTATCACCAAGTGTTTACTAAGTAAATTTATTTAAAAACATAGTCTCACTATAGTATTTTATAATCAGCATGTTGTATTCCGGAACTGTTATGGTGAAGTGGCTGTGTGTATCATTCTCTAGCACTCACATTCAGCCCCTGCTGAAATTGTAGCTTAAAAATCTTTGTATAATAAAGATAATAAACCTGCAACTACCTAAGACACGTCTGCTTAGGAGGTTAAATAGCTAGCTATTCCCTTGTAGGCTAAGGCTCTTTTGCTTATGATTTTCCTCCTCTCCTTACTGTCTCCTCAATGTCTTTCCTGAATCGGTTCTGCAAGTGATATTCCATCCCCTACAGAACTGCTCCCATCATATCTATCTTCAGCTCCCCGTCTCTGTCTCCTGCTCTTGTTAGCACTAGCACAGTCTTTGTCTCGTGTGCCCGTGTGTCCTCAAGGCGAGTTATGAAACGTGTAGTCTGTCTGGATTTTTGAAGTGTCTCCCAGCTCAGGAAATGCAGGAGAGGATTAGCACAGAAGGTGGTGTGGGTCGATGGCAGACTGGTGTGGAGTGACAACGGACACGCCAAGATGGCAGTGTGAAGTTAAGTCTCTAGCACCAGTGCTGTTCTACTGAGCAGCAGAGGGATGAGAGCAGGAGTTGGAAGGAGTGAGCGTGATGGGCGTGAGGACAGTCTGGGGATGGGTGAAGTTAGGAGGTTCTGGGTTGGAAGAGGCAGAGAGATCTAAGACAAGAAGAGTAGGGAGCTGTGAGTCAGAGCTCAGTATGAAAGAGCAAAGTAGGTGCTTTGGACCCAGCAACAGTTTGTCACACCCCAGGATTACCAATCTCACAATTTACAGGCCCAGAGGCTCCTCTGGAATGATGACTTAATGGAAAGACTGACTGTGACCTTCAAAAGGAAAACCCTGACTGTAGTGGATCATCATGTCCTATTACTTTGTCATCTTAAACACAAGGGGACACCTCAAGCAAGAACCCAATTGCAGCGCAAAGACTACCAAGCCCTTCAATTTAGGAATTCCACGTTTCCTTCCTCAGTTTCAGTCTGCAGCTTCCCTTTGCAAAACATGAACATCGTCTCCATCCTGAAGGTGTTCAGTACAGTTCTCTTTCTTACGCTGCTGGTTGCTGGCTTCCACTCATGCAGATCCTCTCATGTGTTCTCACTTCCCTTTCCCATACTCAACTGCTCTTTGCTGGTGTCTGCGTTTCATGCGGAGCGAACTTGCTGTGAATCGTTGCTATTATTAACATTACTAGGAATTGACCAGCTGTTTTTTCTGCTATAGGTACTACAAAATATTTTTGTTATGAAGGGAGTTGTGGATGAATATTCAATCATATTGATCATCTTTAGAAAGGAACAATGTGACA